TTAATACTTTTCATTTTGGTGGCACTGAGGAACAATTTTACATTGCGTTATGATATGGATGATATGTAGCGTGGATCTGCGCATAGATGTGACAGGTGATTAATCGTAATGCACGTAGAGCCGCAGAGCGATGTAATGTATGTGTATGGCTGATACCGAGTAAAAATCTGCGTTACCTGAATGTTGGTATTTTGTGGTGATTATCATGTTGTGAAAGTGCACAAACACAATACCGATGAGTATAGATAATGGATAGTGTATATTGCCCATTGATGTGACAGGTGAAAACTTTGACCGCGTTGCGGAACCTGAAATTATTAACCTATTTCAAAGACATTTTACACGTTTAATAACGAGGTCCAGTGACAACTTCTCCGCACTATTGGAAATTGCTATTGGAAATTTTGATTTTTTCACCCCACCCTAATCCACAATGATTACAGTTTACAGTTTACAAATGAAAAAAAAAAAATCTGCACCATTGCTAGTGAGTGTTCTACAGAGATCAGAACGAGAACCAAAGTATCCTCAACCAAGAGAAACAATGAACCATAGGCTGACATCTAATGATCTACAGGCATCTGTTGCACTTGATTACATCTCTGTCAGGATCAGTCCCGGCCTTCTGTCATTTCCCTGTTTGGGTAGCTGATGTCACTTTTGCACTCTTCACAGTCCCAAATATGTTGCCCTGCTTGCCATGCTGCCATGCAGCTGGATGCAGCATGACAAGGCTGTCCCATTACAAAGCCTCCTTGAAATGCAGTTTAGAAATGTGTCTCCTTTTTGATGATTGCAACATATCCCAAGATGCACTGCAAAGAGGTAAAGTGGGTGTGTCCCGGCTAGGCGATACGAGCAGCGCTTCATGACTCAAAGGTAAGGACAGGAATAGCTGGTAATGGCCAGGCCATCCCATTCAACAACGCTGTCCATTCGACCTTCGAAGAATACGTCCTGTAAAGGCTATGCCTTTTTAGACTGTGCCCTTCGAAGGATGTAGCCCCTGAATTCGGACACAGCTAGTGTAGGACATTTTGAGTTATTTCCCCCCTCGTTAATCATCTTGTGTTTAAGTATTTCAGTATTGGTCCTTGTTTTGGGTTTTAGTTCGTAGTTATCCCCGCTCATATATAGTTTTGTAGTTATGTTCTGATTCACCCATGTTTCTAATCTCTCCTAGTGTCTGAAGTCCTTAATGTTTGTTAATTACCCTTACCCGTTACTGTAGCTCGTGGTGAGTAATTATTAACAACCCTTACGTCCCTCGTCATGCCTCTGTTATCTGTATATGTGCCTGCCCTTGGTCTTTTCCTCAGTCAGTCATTACTTTTGTTCCTGTTGTGTTGTGTGCGCTGTATTGTGTTTATTCCTGCATGTTCTTTGCAGGTGTTTCCCCGAACCTGTGTTTCCTGGTTTGGTTAAATTTTTCCTTGTGTTTAGATACATCCCCTTCAGTTCTTGTTTAATATCCTGTCTTTGTTTCGACCCCTCATGGTCCCTTCTGTTTTGGATTCTCTCTCTCGACAAGGCAGCACATTACACTCTTTTCATCAAACAAGAATGAGGCTCCTTGAAGGTTACTATGGAGGAAATGCTTTTCAAAAAATATAAATGAAAAAAACATTCCTACCAGTCTCAAGCCCAGATGCTCTAGAATACTACTAAAACATTGTTCTGTGGAGCGATGAGACAAAAACTTTTGCTTTTGTTAAATGTACTCAGCATTTTGTTTGGAGAAAAAAATAAAACCTCACCCAAATTGTGAAGCATGGTAAAGGGGGCATAATTCTGTGGGGTTGTTTTACTGCCTAAAAATTACATCACATTTTACGAGTCATACATTCGGAGAGAACTTTACAAACTTTCACCTCTGTTGCTTTTTTAACACTGATGTTGAATAACATGGTGTTTCAGGGTATACCTCTAAATCTTCGTTCCAGCACTGAAGGGACCCGTAACCTCTTCTGCCTGCACCACTCGTATTCCTCTAAGTGAGTATTATTCTCTCCAGAGATATGTGTGGATTCATCTTCACTTCTGTTAACACACTCCTTCTGTGGGGCGGAAAACACACTTAATTCAGAACTAAGGGGTGGTCAACCCTTAGACATGAGACATGTCCACATTTTATGTGACAAACATGTAATATAACATTAGAATTTATAAGCATGCAACTAAAGTCTTTATTAATACATTATGTCTTTCAACAAATCAATCAAGCTCTCAAATTAAAACTAAGTTTCCTTAAGAGTTTATATTGTAGGTACAGTATCTGTTCTACAGTATCTTAATACTAACTGCCTTTCAATATAAAAAAATGGCAACCCCTTCTGCCTAGAATTTTACTACACTTGAATGGTTCTAATGCAGCCGTATCGCTTTGTTTTTTAGCCTCTCAATTATTCTTAGGATTCAGATTTACAGACTTTAACACATTTTAAGATACAGATACATGCTTTTTTAGTGGCTATATTGCTGTGTCCTGATAAACACCCTTATCTGTTTAAAAAGGCTACTTTTCGTTATGTGAATTACTACATTTATCCTTTGAATTACCCGTCATACCCAAATCTTTGCAAATCTTTGACCCCTCTGTCTCTGTGTCTGCTGTACCACCTCATTTAATGCATTTTGCAAAATGTATTCAGTTTTTGTATAATTTTTATATATTGATTAATATGAGCATTGACCCCGGTATAGAGCCCTGGGGAACACTAAATATGTCCGTTCAGCTTGACAGTTACCAGTGAATGTTGTAGACATACCTGCCCCTCTTCGGACCTCTGGCGCTTCATCTTCCCTATGCGGGCTATACAACAAGACACAAAGATTCAGAGAGGATCCATCTGAACCATTTCGCAATAAGCAGTTATTTCACTTGTGAATCTTTGCTAAAATAAACAATCCATTTGGGGTACCAGTGGAATAGCAGGGCGTCAAATCTAGGACACTATAATGATAAATGTAATATTGAGGTCTCTAATCCAACCTGGACAACAGCAAACAACGCTTGAGATATGCTTCAGGAAGAATAACCTGCCCCTTCTCAGAAGATTTTCATAGACTGCATTCACATCGTTATTTAATTAATATGTTTAGCAGATGCTTTTAATCAATGCAATGTATAATTGAGAGAGAGGGTCGGCCAGTCTCTATAGCAATTGGGGTTAAGGGCCTTGCAGAAGGGCTCAACAGTGACATCACTCTGCTAGTCATGGGATTTTGCCCTGGCAACTGTCCAATCACATGTGCGGAGTCCTTAACTGCAGAGCCACCTACTGACCCCCACTGTCCAATCACATGTGCGGAGTCCTTAACTGCAGAGCCACCTACTGCAGAGCCCCCACTGTCCCTCTTCCTGGCACTACTGTCATTAATGATTTTACATTGAGATGGCATTGCTGAGAAGAAAGAACAATAAAATCCAAACTTTGTTGGATACTCCAATTTCTGACATTTAAAACATGAAACTCTCGTTCTCTATACTGTAGCTCCGTTCAGGTGCAAGTTATTATTATGAATGATTATTATATGGTTATTATTATTATATTATAAAAGAATAACAGTTTAACATATTAACTGTCAAAGTGGCATTTATTATATGTACTATCTATCTTATCAATGGTCTGACTGTTTTGACTTTACAGCAAGCCTCCGTTATGTCAGAGAGCCAGACAGCTTTGTATGTTGCTCACTTTGCCTGCCCAACTTTGGGGGGATTCCGATAAAATCACCCCATTCATTCCTCCAGTCACCATGTCCTGTGGGTCTATTTGCCGTTTGCTATTTTTCATACTTACTACAGCAATTAAGATATAAATATAATAAAAATATAAATACATTTTTAAAAACAAGAACATTTGTAAGCTACATACCGTGTAACCGTGTTTGTCTGTTTGCCCTCACTCGTAAGAATGTCTGAGAGAAGAAAAAATAAAGCAAACAAAAGAATTGTTATTTAAGACTTACATCTTAATTACTATAATTCCTATAAGAACTATGCTATGGATCTGGCCACAATACTATACACATCCTTTCTTAGAACTCTTATACTCTTAAATTATGTGTTAATGCTTCATTATAAAGATGCCAAATGCACTCAAATAGCCCACAGTGTGTGCACCATGTGACGGATCAGCATCTTATGCAGAATATTCCCCTGCCTTGTGCTTCCTAAAACAGGCTCCAAGCTCACCTTTTAATTTGAATAATTATTACATTGAATAATAAATAATAATTTGCCCCCATGGCAATGATGCGCTCGATATAGGAACTCTTATACCTCCATTCCTGTTGCTTCTGACAGAGTCAAAAAATAGCATAGATAGAACAGAACGTCCATTACACTGCAATAAATATACCATTTCAACTTCAAGTGACACTGAAGTTACAGTAGTATTATTGTAATTCACAATACTAGGGTAATGTGAGATTGTGTGAATGATCTCAATTAGGCCATCAGTACTTTCTGATCATCAAGGATTATACAAGTCAGAAAAAGCACGGTGGATTCTCTGGCACCATGCCACATCATCATAAAACTTTGCACGGTACACAGTCTTTGTCAGTATACCCAAAAAAATCTCTCAGGCCAAGAAAAAGACCCAATCTATAAAACTTTACACCCAAGGGAATATACATGGGTGGGGCCACAGGGGCACTGGCTCCTACTAAAAGCTGATTGGCCCCTAGATGCCCACTCCCCCGTCAGTCACCGATTCAAAACATATCGTTAGCTAATTATGAGGTTGGCCCCTCTGAATGAATTATGCCCCTTCTTATGCCCCCACTGTAAAAAATCCTAGTATCACCAACGATTACAACTACAGAAATAGCAGACCACCGTAAACAATATCTTCCATTGTTTGATTCCACAGGTCTCCACTTGTTTAAGCTTATTGTGAAATGCAGGGGGGATATTTCTGGGGAGGGGCAGGGTCAAAAGGATAAGTCCTTCTATTCCATCCATCCATTATCGGTAACTGCTTGTCCTATTCAGGCTCTCGGGGGGTCCAGAGCCTATCATGGAAGATACGGGTGCAAGGCAGGGAATAACCCAGGATGGGGTGCCAACCCATTAAAGGGGCCCCTCAATTAACCTATAAATAGTCAATATCTATATAAGCTAAGTTATAGAACAAACTACGCATTTGTACAGTATGTGATGGGGACTTGAGTTAGCGACTCAAATTCAAGGCACACAGACTCGTCTTGGATTTGGACTTGGATCTTGGGATTAATTAACAATACACAATGAACGAAATGAGACTATAACATACATTTAGCTACCATTATGTGCCTTAAGTCATCACTTTTTGGATACGTAGATTAAGGATGCTGAAAAAGCATAAATAATGATATTGTCTTTCAGAATACCATTGGTAATTAGTGTGATATTAAAGACTCTATTCAGCCAGCATCATAAATAACATTAGCCCAACAAACACACAGCAAGGTTTATTGAGTTAGTGGAGCATGCCATAAGCTACTCTTCTGGTAACATGGAAGAGATAAGCGGTCCCTCAGAGGAAAGTCTGCTAGAAAAACGTGTCGGTGAGGAAAGCGACAGCTCAGCAGCCGCAACGTCTTTTAAAAACTGAGATACTATGGAAAAAGAAGACAAAAAAGATGGTGGTGGTGTGGAAGTACTTTTTGCAGTTTAAAGTCTGACACACAACAGACTGGTGCTGTGTACTATAAACTCAGCTGAAAACTTGTGCCAACTAAAATAGGAAATACTGCGAACTTATTTCACCTCTTGAAGCATTGCCATTCTGCGCAACATTGCATTGTAAGTGCTTACAGTCACAAACTCTAGCAGTTAGGATTTCCACTTTCAAGGTGAAAAAGTATGGGACAAATCAGCCCCAGTACTGGTTAAAAATGGAACACAGCATTTTATTTTTGATTACAGGATGGGTGACAACTCTACCAGCAACGTCAAACCCATTCCCTGGAATGAGCAGTGAGGCAGTCAGACAAAAAACCCGGCAACAAACCATACTGTCTGCGTTTTCTACTGTCATGCTGTACGACAGATTTTTTTCGTACGATTTATTTATCAAATTGAGATTTCAGTTTTCAGTCCATTCAGTCACATTTTCCCTGTTCTGATTCTGTTTAAGGGCAATGTTAAGGGATTTTTAAGCAGAAATGGAGTCTTGAAATAAAGAAATTATTATTTTAATTGTATTCTGAAAATTATCAACTGATATGAAACAAATTATCTTTATAAAATATTTTCCATATTGTCCAGCCCTAGTGAGAGGATCTGCTTTGGGACTGAAGAATACATTTTGACTCCAGTGTGGTTTTCTACAACTAAATTCTATTACTGTTCACTCTTCTTTCTGAATTCAGCTTTTTTTTTCAGCCAATTTTACAGGTATTGCTATGTACTGTAGTACATTTAGCACAAGGATTGGACGCAGGCTAACGTTATATCCTACTTGGAAAAGACTGTTTGCTGAAACACCACAGTTATGGAACTTTTGCCCTGAGCAGACTACCTTAATTAAATAGTTGTGTTATTTTCTTAATTGTGTTAAAGTATCAATCAGCGTTGTTAAAAGATTGGAGGTATGTACTTTAATTTTTTCCACTAAAACAATTTTCAAGCAAACCTAGAAATGCACTTCCATCAAAAGAATATAAAGAAAAAAGTTACATGACTTGGACTTGAGCTGAAAGACTCGAGATTTGACGGGTGACAATCTCTGCTGTCTGGTTCACCTATCTGTCTAGATCATGAGGGTGCCCAATAAGTACCCCTGTTCGTTCAACCAAATCTCTCATGTATCTGTTTGCCATTATAATGAACCAAATAAAGCCTTGTGTAGTTGGTACTTGTATACATACCTGGTATCTGTCAGACTGGTGAATGTATTCAGAGCAGTGTAGAGATGAGGCAGACTCCTCCTCACTTTTGATATGAAGGGATAAAACGAGAGACTGCAGACACAAATTGAAGATGAAAACAGTGTACTGTCATTTATACAGTATATGCTTTAATTTTCTTCAGTTGTTTTTCCCCCTAACTGCCCGAGATATAAACTTTACATTCAACCATGTAAACTTCTGGCCCTTCTATGGAATTGCTGCCTGTTTTGTGGATAACTTAAATAACGCACATCGTCATTCCAGTCACAGACTGTGCCTGCATGGATGAAGGCTTGCATGCAAAGATGGCTTCAGTTTCCAACATGGGTGAACCAGAATTAATTTAGACCTCATGTTTTCACATAATGGGAGTTCAATAAAACTAAAGTTTTGAGAATTTTAAACTTTATTACAGTTACTTCATATTTTTCTGAATAAAGAGAGACAACGTCTCCGAATTGGGTACCATCCTCGATTGTTATTTCTTTGACATAGATTAGGAATGACTATTGTATTGTGACCGCAAGTTCTAGAGAAGAATTCTTCTTTTGACTGCATTTGTGCATTCATTACCTTAGGTGTGCCCCTAGTCATGCCATCCTTGTTGGCTGTAAGCTTGCTGTAAAAAAGGAGGGAGAAACAAAGACAAATTTTAAAGGGTTGTGAGGGTAAATTACATAATTATTTCTACTTATATACCATCCAGCTATGTCTGCTATGCAAGACATGCCTGAAGGTGAAATTGCTTCAAACTGCAGATTTCACTGCCAGTCCTAATAACCAGGTTGTGGATTGGCTGCAGTATCAGCTGTTATCGATATGGGGCTGAACCTGTCCATCCCAAAAAGGACATCCAAATTCTGTTCCTCTGCCCCTAATTGGGCATTTTACTGGGTTTGCTACAAGTTCTGCCTTCCACAGCTACTGTGGGTCTGATCACAAATGCATTATTTTCCTTATATAAATTTGTGGCTGATTTAAAACAACCAAACCTATCCAGCAACTCACTGAAAAAGGACAAAAAGTTAAGCATTGGGTTCATATCACTGCAAGACCCAATTATACACACATTGGACATACAGGTACCATATAATTATTTCAAAATGGTATATTTTTTGGGTTCATGGAAATGATATAAGCATGTTGTGACTTTTGACATCCATGTGATCTAAGATGGGGAAACGTTTTTACACTCTTGTTATGGAAGAATGTACTGCTCTGTGATAAAATAGGCTCAACAGAGATCTTAATGAGGGTTGATGTGGAATGATCTGGTTGAAGCTCACATCAGCTCAATGGACATGAATCTACATTCCAGACATGCTTCATGACCTTGAATGGCTGCTGCTGTTGTCTGGGTGATTTAGATGCAGACAGGACTCCATTATAATACCACTTTTGGTGACAGTCTTCACCCTGAAACTCCAGCTCTCAAACAGCCAGGTGAAAGGAGTTTCTCCTGTCAGATGTATATTGTGTACTACTCAAAGGTGATTCCAGACCCTGTTTACAAGGTCATCAGTCTCCATTTTTTTTTCTCTCATCCCGCCAAATAGAATTTTTCTAAACCTATTTAGCGGTTTGTCCTATATTTCCATATACATAACTGGAACCCCCCCCCCCACAATGCACACAGTACATTGTATTGTGAGCTCCTTGAAGAATCAAATTCTAAAATCACCCAGGCATATTTTTTGGACCGTTTTGTTACTTTTCTCAAAGAATGCTTGTGGAAAATTGGCCATGTAATAATTCAATCAAGGTAAACTTGGTACTGTAAGAGAGGACATCTTAAATGAATAACAAAGGAAGAATTGTATTTTTTATAACAATGCAAACTGACCTGTTCCTTCTGCATGCTTATGACATGCCATATGCTTTAACCTGTCTGGATTTCTTTTATAAATGCAACATGAGAAAAACTAGAGTATGACTACATATTAGCAAAATTTGTTATTGAATTATTTTATAGATTTATCCCAGAAACATTTGAGCCGTTATCTTTCTCAGTAGCTTTTGGGACTAAGCGATTGCATAGTTTCTTCCCCTCTAAGGTCGAAAATGAATCATGGTTTCCAGCACTAATATTTTTTGTAAGCAACAAATCCATGATTTCATTATAACACCAATTACTCTTTCATTACATGCACCAGCCCCCGTGTCTTTAAATCTCAGTAACATTTGCAATAAGAACAACAGCTGGTTAGAAGCATTAGCCATTAGCCAAGTGAAGTGACACAGTACCTGAGGTGCAGGTGGCTCAGCTGATCCATCTCCTGTACCATGTGCTCCTGCATCTCACCAGGCCGGAGAATGACTTGGCATATGGGGCAGACCGGTGCTTGGTTGTCATAAAGGGAAGCCTTCTTCTTGACTAAGAGAAGATAAAGAGGAGGGGGTATTGTCACCATGTTTTGTGATCCATACACAGGCCAGAACTATGCTAAAGCAGCCACCGTCCAGAACAAGCATCTTCTTTATTGACTTTATCGACACATTTATACAGGTTGAAAGTGAAGCTTGGGGTCTGAGCCATTTGCATAGTGTCCTTGGAGCGTTACGCGGGGTGAAGGGGCTTAATGGACATGTGACTGTTCTGTGAAGGACAGGTTTCAAACCCTTTTTGGCACCCTTCCATTCACAGGCACTGAAGCTTAAACCACTGAGCCAAACAGTGCAAAACAAAAACATTATTGTTCAATTTCTACAATTTGTTGTCTATGAGAGTGCATTATGACTCTATGGGAGGTCAGACTATCATGAGAGATGAGCTTTTATTGTGTCGGAAATACTTTGCATGTAAAATACTGTTATTCATTATGAAAATGGCTCATTATGGTGCCATGGGGTATGGTATTCCAAGCCTAATTTACCAACAGCATCTCTACAGCAACACACACCTTCACCCAGAGGGGAGATAACATCAACCATGCTTCTCCTAGGCCTGGCTCCTGGAGTGTGTAGCTGTATTTAAGGGTTGATGTACAGCAATCTGCCCAAAATAATCCTCACTGTGAAGTTCATAAAGATTTGTTCATGATGGCACTTCCAGATACCTCTTGAGATTAGACTTTTGTAGTCAGCCGATTTGGAGCTGCTGATCTCCACAGATACCACACCCGCAGAGTATGAGTTTCCACCCACATTTCCCTCACATGGTGACCACATCATCTTAGTTATTGTTCCTTGAGTAGCTTCATAAAGTTGAGCAGTCTTCATTACTGACACTCTTATCAAACATGCCTCAACCACAACCCCTCACTGACATCATGGTAACATAACATATGATAAAAATAGCATTTTAACATGGATTTGGAAGAATTTATTTTGTCATTTTATGGGTCAATATAATACAATATATTTAATGTTGTTTTTCATGTGTAGAGAATAAGTAAGAATTAAACTTTCCCTAATATGCTTGCCTTTGAAATGTTGCATGCTACTGCCCATACTGTAATATCTTTTGGGGTAGGATAATCTGGTGAGATGTCATCTTCAGTTTTAGAGATGCATTGAAACATGCACTTTGAACAGGGGTGCTCATATTTTAGTCTATTGTTGTAATATTCATATAACAGAGACACATATTGGAAAAAAATCCAGGGTTGTATAAGTATGCATTATGCATTGTTTCATGCCATTTACTTTTTAAAGTTTTATTGTTTAAACTGTTAGTCTGTTAATACATGTGGTTTTTACAGCATATATTTAAAGTGCAAGACTGAAGTGAATTTGATTGGCTATGGGAGTGTTTGTGTTGACCACATGACAGTGTAATAATGGATGCTGTTTCGACATACTGCCATTGATCATGCTAAAATCTACTGGATCAACCCATCTGTATCTGCAAATCCAAACCAGAATCTTAGATTCAATCGGCTAATGCCTCTCAGCCTGTTAACACGCCTCTTTTCCGATTTTGATGTTGGACAAAATTTTCTTGTCCGAGATTCCCCTCTGACGTCAATTCAACATGACGGCTTTGCACAGTCAACAGTAATTCTATTTTATAAATATTTTTAAATGTTAATTTTGTTAAATGTATTAATAGTTATAAATGTAATTGCACACGGCCAATTTAGAGAATAACATATCATGACCGTAAACAGTGTCCTACGATGAAATATCAGATTTTTACCAGACTTGTTAGTGTCTTTTGTTTGATTGTAGTTTGTTTGCCTCTTGAAAAAATAATATTGCTATGGATCTAGTAAAATATTTTTAAGCTTTTAATGTGGTTTGACTAGTTCAGGTTTATTGTTTGCTTGTCTCTTAGAAAAATTAATCTTGCTCCAAATCTGCTAAAATATAAAGCAACAAAACACAACAGCATGTTCATGGAGGCAGCCATGTTTGTTCTGAGATATGTAGCTCGAACGGGAGATTGGTCGGATGTGATGTCACACGACTTCGGAAAGATAATCGAACACACCATTAGTCACCTTTGCGCTGCTACACATCTGAGTGATTTAAAACTGAGAGCCCCCCTCCCCGCCCCGAAATTGTTTCTCTTTATTTTTTGAAAGTTTTTGTGTTAAATGCATATATACCGATATTCCATTTAAAAAAATCGTATCTCAAATCCTGTTCTCTATCCATCTATCTGTTCTCTATACATCTATTTGTAAATTGTGTCTCAGACATTTAGGATAAGATGGTTCTTTGCTTTAAAAAGATTGCCAATCACTGATCTGACAAAACAAACTCTGAATGTTCAGATGTAGATTGCAAAAGAAATGTCACAATTTACGTTAGTTTAAAACGTATGGTTCCATTATTGTTTAGCTAAGGCATCTTATTTATACGTCATTCAAACACCTTGTTTACCTTTAACTATTGAATAATTAAATTTTATAGTAAAATCAGAATAGTCTTGATGTTTAAATCTTGACCAAGGGAACTATGCAAGAATTCCAATGTCTGCAAATGGCAATTCAATTCAATTCAAAATGTGTGGGATATTATATGCGTAGGATATTTGGACCACGTTCATCGTTTTGCTCTGCCTAAGTCATTCCCTTGCCATATTGTGCAGTATACTGTACCTGACCTTAAACCCTAACAGAGAAGGATGACATCTAACTGCACAGAGCAATGGTTCCTTTGAAGTCCCTTTATGCAGCCCTGTGGCAGGACTGTCACCTGTGTGGGACGTATGGTGTGCACCCTAATAAACAGATCATGTGAAAGACCGATCTCTCTGGCATGTGATGGATGACAGGGCCATGCCATCTCCATGCGTCTTAGGGACGCATGCACTCATGCATCGTGCTGTGCATGTGTGTAATTGTGTGGCCAAATCTACAGTACAAGAGAAAAACAACCACATTGTACATTGTTATTTTGGTGCTACATGTGTGTCCCTGTAGAACGATAATGTGACCTTTTTACTGTAGAATAATAGCGATCAAAAACACAAATATTCAAATATCTTAAACGTTTCAAGGAATGTACTTACTATACCTGCTTTACTGTTATTGTACTCATTAATTACCACTGAACGTTATTAAATTGCATGTTAGTTGATGAATAGAGAGGACAATATAGCCAAATAGCTAAATTGTCTAACGGAAAAAAGAGAAAAACATTTGTGTACGAACTACATGCTAACCATAGGTTACGTGTGTGATCTTGCTGCCTGTCTGCCCTACCCCTCCGGTTACCCTGTGCCCCTGTGTTTCTCCCTTGCTCTCCCTGCCTTGTTCTGACCTCTCATGGTCCATTTCCTTTTGATTTGTATTCCATTTGTTAGAATAAAATCCCTTTCGTCTTTCCTGATGCCTGCCTTTGCTTCCATCCTTCTCGAACCATGACATGTGGCTTTAGGGTCAAATCTTAGAGTTGCGCCGAAGCCAAAAAATAACAAAATGTATTCCCTTACGGAGTAAATTGGAAAAAGTAGAATTACAAAGCTTAGAAGCAACCAAACAATTGAAGTCCATTTATTTTAATATCAGGTTTTAATTAATGTCACTTCCACTGGATATACATTCTCAGGGGAACATTATAATATAAAATAAAAATAGAATGTGAATTAATGTGCAGGAACTTTAAGTTGTCTTGTTGTAAGTTGCTTCCCTATAACCCTATAGGATATGTCACTTTGTGATGTCATAGCATTTACATCAGAATATTTGCCCAGAGAATCCTTACTTCCCTGCTTTAACATAAAATCAGCTCCTCTCTTTCATTCCCATTCTCTCCCTCCCTCTGCCTGTGTCCATTCACCTTAATCTACAAGGTGATCTCCCACCTCAGTGGGTTGTAGATGATGGGGATATTGAGACAGGGAGATAAATGCCTGTCTCTGCATCCCCAGAGGCAGGTAAGAGGGCTTTACGTGCATGGAGCTTGTCAGTGCGTTAAAGATGATTAATGTGGGAGGCCCCTTCGCTAAGACCCTGCTGACTAAACCTGAGGTGTCTGTTTAAGCTGAAGGAATGGGAGAAATACAATCAGGGGCTGTTAGAAGGGGACTAACAATGCAACACAACTGGCACAACAATTAAACATAATTTGAAAACAAGAAACATGGTAAAGAAATAGACACTAACCACCTGAATGGGCTAGTGCAGTATTCACTGATTTTTAATAAACCAAAGGATGGCATCATGACTGCAGATTTCAAACATATATCCTGTATTTCAACTCTTAATTATCAGAGTACTGATTTAAGTAGCAAGTTCCTCATTATTTTCACTCCTCTAAACATCAGTTGTGTGGTACCAAAAAGCTACTATAACAGAATTACCAGCACCTACGGGAACACAGAACTGGGAGCTGTCAAAATCACATGCAATTTAGTGACTTTAAAATTTATGATAAATACATCCCAGTCACCAATCGGGGGACAGAAAAACAGTTCATAGTCACTCAGTGAGCAGTCATGGTGCTGTGCTGTGTTTTTTCCCGTTTTCTGTGTTCTTCCTTTTCAGGAATCCTTTTTGAAAGCTGGGATAAGTGAATTACCACCACACAAAGGACAGGTGGCTTTAATAGCACATACTATATTTCAGTTTTTAAAATACGTTTTGCATTTATGAAATAAACAACTACCACAAATAAAGGTTTCTCAGAATTGTCTCCTCTACTCCTAGCCATTAACTCCCAAACAACAACTGCTTGGTTGAGTATGCAGGGCCTGGATAAACTGAGCTGCTGGCTCAGCTGTGCATCCATTTTCAGCAAAATGATGTTCACTTTTCCGTTAGGGTATCCAGCAGCCATTCCAGAGAACAACGGCAGAACAGACACTTAATTCAGCGGGCAGGGAAACCATACAGCACCTTCACTCTCCAGGAAATAGATGCAACAATGGTACATTATTTTATACACTGTTCTTAAATTGCTAAAATCGAGCTGAAAATGTACTAA